AGCGGCCGCCGGGCCCAGCTCAAAATGGAGGCCGCGAGGGAGGGGGACCCGCGCTAATACCCTCGGCCCCGGGTCCTTGCGGAGCCCCAGCCCCAGACTGGGCCGGGCGGGATGGGGGCCCTACACCTGGGCGCGGGGGCGGGGGCGGCTCTGACCCCCTCTTCTTCCGCTCCTGCCCGCAGTCACGACAAGGGACCCGAGGCAGAGGAGGGCGTCGAGCTGCAAGAAGGTGAGTGGTCGCGGGGCCCACCAGGAGTGTGGCTTGCGCCCGGGAAAGGGGACTGGGGGCGCCCTGGTTCGGGCGACCGCTGACCATCCCCCCTACCCTCCTCCGGCCGCAGGTGGGGACGGCCCTGGGGCGGAGGAGCAGACGGCGGTGGCCATCGCCAGCGTCCAGCAGGCGGCGTTCGGCGACCACAATATCCAGTATCAGTTCCGCACAGAGAATAATGGAGGACAGGTGAGACTGAGGGCAAGTGAAGGGTTGAGCCGAGGGTTCCGCGGGCTGGCTGGCTGGGAGGGGCTCTGAACTGACCCCTGTCTGGTCCCAGCGCGGATCTCAATGCTCTGCCGCCCCCTGCAGGTGACATACCGCGTAGTCCAGGTGACTGATGGTCAGCTGGACGGCCAGGGCGATACAGCAGGCGCAGTCAGCGTCGTGTCCACGGCTGCCTTCGCGGGGGGGCAGCAGGCTGTGACCCAGGTGGGTGTGGATGGGGCAGCCCAGCGCCCCGGCCCCGCTGCTGCCTCTGTGCCCTCAGGTCCCGCAGCGCCCTTCCCACTGGTAGGTGCCTAGCAATACCTGGGGGGACAGAGAGGGGACACTGCTTCTGTTCTTAGGGAGCCCCAGGGGGTAGGGCAAGTGGGACACAGATGCTGCCTGCAGAGGGTCAGTTTGTGTGGTTCAGGTCCCTGTTCTGCACAGTGAAACCTTGAGCAGGATCTTTGGGACATCACTTTCTTCTTTCTGTAAAACGGGGATGATGGTAGTAGGAAAGTCTCTTAGGGCAAAAATGGATCAACTCACCAGGTGATTGCTGAGTATCTGCCAAGTTCCAGGGCTATGAGACACAGGGCAGAGTGGCACACAGAGGGCTTCCCCGCACTCTATAGAGAATTGAATAAACGTCCGACATGGCTAGGAGGGAACAGAGATGGCTGAGGGCGGCCTCTGTGTCCTCCTACTCCCCAGGCTGTAATCCAAAATCCCTTCAGCAATGGTGGCAGCCCGGCTGCTGAGGCTGTCAGTGGGGAGGCACGATTTGCCTATTTCCCAGCATCCAGTGTGGGAGATACCACAGCTGTGTCCGTACAGACCACAGACCAGAGCTTGCAGGCTGGAGGTAAAGGGAGGAAGGGGCCAGGGCGGAATGCAGGGGAGGCAAGGCAACAGGCCTAGTAGGGAGGGAAGACCCCTAATCAATTCTGCCTCTGTTCCCAGTTTTGGCACTAACCCTTTCTTTCTCTGCAGGCCAATTCTATGTCATGATGACGCCTCAGGATGTGCTTCAGACAGGATCACAAAGGACTATTGCACCCCGGACACACCCCTATTCCCCGTATGTGCAGGAGACCTGGTCCTAGGAGCAGGGACCCTGGGAGGGCCTTGTTTGGGGGAGCCCAAGAAAGGGAAGGTTTTCTGGAATGGGAGCCAGGCAGTTGAGCATACAGCAAGTAGGGTATTTTTTGGTCTGTTTCTGCTTCTTAGGTACAAGTAAAGAAAATGCCGTCTTTCCATTCTTTTAACACGTGGATTTATCTTTTAAAGATAATCTCAAGTCTGACTCCTTCATAAGTGCTTTGACAAATGGCCTGGGAAAACTTATACCCATTTTTTCCCTCCTCTTCTAGGAAAATCGATGGAACCAGAACACCACGGGATGAAAGGAGGAGAGCTCAGCACAATGAAGGTAAGGTCAGGGTGGAGCTCTTGGGCCTCACAGGCACAGCCAGGCCTGGTACTTGGTGGCACGGATCACTGGGTATGCTACAAGTGCATGAGAAGTGTTTGCTGAATGCTGGAAAGGTAGAAACAAAGATAGGGAAATGTTCATTGTTTAGGAACATAACAGTCAGGAGGTGTGAACTGGAATGTGTTTGTCATCCTACCTAGTGATTTTGAGTTATTAGCCAACATCTAAAATGGCAGATTCACAGATGGCTTTCCTGCCCCTTGTGAGAAAGTGGGTTGATTTGGCTCCCCTGCACCTACCTTTCCGTGTGGCAGCTGTTGTGCTTGTGTCCCTCACTCTCCTGCTTGCCTGGCTTCCAGAAGTGCCTCTAGTCCGATAGGAAGCTCCTCTGAAGATAAAGCTGCAGGAAGCTGTGCCTTTCGCTGGCCAAGGCCGGAGCTTCCTGCCCTTTGCGTAAACACCAAATCCCACCCTAAGGTCATTTTGGCATGTGATGCTGTCCCCTAGTCCCCTACCGAAGTCCCTGCCCCCAGTCAGTAGCCACTGCAGTGGGCATAGTAGCATACAAGTACAGGGGAACACTTACACCCAAACAACCATCACTTAGCAAATATTTCCTGAAGGCAGGTTCCAGGCTGGGCACCATGTGCCCTGTGCCAGAGCTGGAGCCTGCTCTGGAGTGTCGAAGAGGCTGAGAAGAGTTGAGGCGGGTGTCTGTCTGACCACTGAGCATAGGAGTTGTCCTGGGATGAGCCAGTGGGCAGAGGCCAGCGGGATCAGGTGATGCTTACCTGAAGGAGGTGGCCTTTGGGAGTGCCTGTGAGGCAGAGGGGAACACAGACTGGGCAGAGGAGGCAGAGTGGAGTGAGGGTGCTTCCAGGGGTGCTGGTCTGGCTGTGGCAGAGGTCTCGTGTGGCGCACTTGGGAAGGAAGCCAATAGGGTCAAGGAGGACCTTGAATGTCAGGGTGGGGCCCCAGGAGTCCTGGAGGTGCTCATTTGGGGGTGGCCTGTGCAACTGTAATCTGAACAGCTCCCTGAGTTGAGGCCTTCATTCAGCACATAGCTATACTATGTGCCAGCCCATTTTAGGCCCTTAGGTACAGCAGATAATAGAACAGATGAGTGTTCTCACAAGAGTGTTCATTCTGGTGGGAGAGAGAGAGTACACAAAGCTACGATATGACATCAGGTCATATAAGTCACAGGAAGAAAGGTAAAGCAGGGTAAGGAGAATAGTGGTGGCAGTGTGTTCTGTAGACCTCTCTGAGAGGTGACATTTGAGCAGAAGCATAAGTGGACCAGCCGAGTACCTGAGGAAGAGTCCCGGGCAGAGGGAAGAGCAAGTGCAAATGCCCAGGCCTGAGCAGGAATAGACTTGGAGTGTCTGAGGAAGAGCAGAACTCAGGAAAAGGAAGAGGAATTTGGTAGAGTTGCAAGAGGGCTGGCCGGGGTCAGGTCACACGGGGCTTTGTAAGAAGAGGTCCCCCCAGCATCCTTGCTCCTGGATTGTTATTATAGTTTGAAGGGAAGCCACTGAGGGATTTGTGGGTGGAGACCAAATGGGAAAGGTGACAGAACACCAGAGGCCAGGAAAATAGGATGTGACTGCCGTCGGTCCTGAGTCAGGACAGGGCTGCAGTGGGGTGGGAGTGCCTGGGGAGAGGATTCCAAGGCCGGAGAATCAGAATCTCATGAATCGGTTTCATGGTGGGGTTAGGTTGGTTTGAAAGGGAAGGGGGAGTCTGAGCTTGGGTTTTGGGTGTGGTGAGTTTGAGGGGTCTGTGGTAGGCAACCCGGGCCATCCTGGCTCTGCCACTTGCTGGCCAAATGGCCCAAGCTGGTTCTTCGTCTCTGTGCCTGATAGTGCTGTGTGAAACAGTGCCAACGGGACCACCGCAGACACCCACAGGGAGCAGAGGCTCGTGGGCCCCCAGCAGC